CAGGAAATAAAGAAAGACTTATGAAGATGTCATGAAAGAAACTGAATTACGAAGAGAACTTATTGCCTAAAGAAAAAAGAGACAATCTATATTCTTTGGTCACGTGATGAGAAGGAGAAAACTGGAGTTTATCGTGACAGTAGGAGATATTCAAAGGGGTGGGAGTGAGGCAGAGGGAGACCAAGAGAAAAGATGCCGGACAGTGTGGCATCATGGCATGTAGGATCATCTGTGTCAGAGTTGACTTAAAGTACACGAAACAGAAAGTTGTGGATATATGTGACTACAAACGCCACAGGGCATGGACTTTAAGAAGAAGAAGAATCACTCAGGTGCCGTCTCCACAATAAAGGTTGGCAGTAATGGATCTCCAACACTCGCTGTCTTTTGTCTTGGTTGTACACTCTCTCCGACTCTTGTTAGTCCATCTCTTGATGATTGTTGTCTACCTCTTGATCTCTGACCATTGCATCTTTAGTTATTCCTATTATCTTTTTGATTTCTTTTTCACTTGTGCCAGCATCTGTTATTATTTGAGCAAGATAGGAGAACTCCTTGCGTGTTCTAATACCTCTCCGTTCAATGCGATGTTTACTGTTGGTAGCTCATTTCTACTGTTTATTATCAGTTTATGTTTTTCGAACGGTCATGTCTAATCCATACTTTGCTAGTAACACTGTGTCATTAGCATATCTCACATTGTTTATCTTGTTGACAGTCTGCTAGTAACACTGTGTCATCAACACATCTTACATTGTTTAACTTGTTCACTTTCTGCTAGTAACACTGTGTCATCAGCGTATCTCACATTCTTTAACTTGTTCACTTTCTGCTAGTAACACTGTGTCATCAACACATCTTACATTGTTTAACTTGTTCACTTTCTGCTAGTAACACTGTGTCATCAGCGTATCTCACATTGTTTATCTTGTTCACTTTCTGCTAGTAACACTGTGTCATCAGCGTATCTCACATTGTTTATCTTGTTCACTTTCTGCTAGTAACACTGAGTCATCAGCATATCTCACATTGTTTATCTTGTTGACAGTCTGCTAGTAACACTGTGTCATCAACACATCTTACATTGTTTATCTTGTTCACTTTCTGCTAGTAACACTGTGTCATCAGCGTATCTCACATTTGTTAATCTTGTTCACTTTCTGCTAGTAACACTGTGTCATCAGCATATCTCAAATTGTTTATCTTGTTCACTTTCTGCTAGTAACACTGTGTCATTAGCGTATCTCACATTTGTTTATCTTGTTCACTTTCTGCTAGTAACTCTGTGTCATCAGCATATCTCACATTGTTTATCTTGTTCACTTTCTGCTAGTAACACTGTGTCATCAGCATATCTCAAATTGTTTATCTTGTTCACTTTCTGCTAGTAACACTGTGTCATCAGCATATCTCAAATTGTTTATCTTGTTCACTTTCTGCTGGTAACACTGTGTCATCAGCACATCTCAAATTGTTTATCTTGTTCACTTTCTGCTAGTAACACTGTGTCATCAGCATATATCAAATTGTTTATTATTTATCCATTGATATTTAGTTCATACAATAATTATACACGTAATTATAAAAATAGAAACATTCATAAACTGAATCTCCAACATTTTTTTTCCCTTAACGAAATATGACTCTTCTTGTTATTATTTTGTCGTCACGTTGATACCAGGTTGTAGCCCGGTGGCGTGGTTTTCTGTATTTATCTTGCGCTTCTCGGGTGGCTTGTGTATTGCATGTCTTAATCTTTTTAGCAGATTTCTGCTACACCATTTATCCATTTCTTTCTTGGTCTTCCTCTCACCTTTCTCCGAGGTGTTATGCTGTATAAAAGTCTCACGTGCAGTCGGGTCTGGCTAAATTCTCACTAGATGGCTGAACTATTTCAGTCTTTGTCAATATAATACAGACATGGTTAATTCGTAAGAAGGTCCATCTTGTGTTGTTAGTGACTCTTATTATAACTTTAAAAACATGAAAATGTGTACGCTTCAAATTTGACTTTTCTTTATTACATGAACGAAATGAACAAGAATTGTTGCACTAGTCCGTTAAATTAGTATAGTCGTAATTAAGTAAGTTGTACCCCACCAGGACATCACACAAGCGATAAACAGCCGGTGACACAAAGTGCTAACATGAGGATAAGAATCACCCGTGGAGTGGTCCCGGAAACCCCGTTCAGCCGTTAGGCCATATTTAGGCCCGGCTATACTTAGGCCCCCCGGCAAAAGCCAGGATGGGACTTCAAAATAACTAAAAATGGTATCCGTCCAGGGGATGACGATTCTATATTTAAATGAATGGGCAAGAACAATGTGTAGTAGACACAGTCACTTGTAAAATGTACGGCTGCAGGCAAAGAAATAGTCATGAACATGTTTAGACGTTTGTGTGCTGATACTGAAGGTGTACAGTCGATAGCAGCACTGTTGGTTCAGGGTGTTGAAGCTTCAGAAAGTGGATAGAAGGACCTGAAGATTTGTTTCATGATGTGAAGACATGTTCATGTGAACACGAGAAACCTGAAACAGACAAGACGTGACAATCGTTGCTTCGCATTAGGTCATACATGTGGACGGCAGGTATAGAAAATTAGGATGTGTAAAGGATATAATGTTGGCGTCTGGGGCTTAAGCATTGCGAGCGCGCTTTGCAACTCCCAGGTAGTGGATTCGATCCCAGCTGCATGGAATTTGGCAGCAGACCGGCTTTCATTGAGTTCAATGGTGGTATCGAGAGCCGACCGTTCACAAAACGATATCAACTAGTGAACTAAAATTTGTCTTGTAGAATCACAAACAGCATGACAATATTGAGGTCGGTTCTACAACATCCTGTAAGACAAGCAACTAACCTTTGTTTTCTTAAAGGTCATAATGAGTTATTTTTTTTAGTGACTTTCAAACATGCGTCAGAAGAAAACAAAATGAACGCAATTACTTTCTGAAAATCCCTTGTAATCATACATTACAACAATACAAGAAAAGACCTGGTATGCGAATACCAGCATTAGAGCGATAGTTGGAATAAGGCCATGTCTGGACTATACTAACAAAGTATGAAATGGTTCGGTCTACTAGCGAGACTGCAGCCAGACCAAACTGTATATCAGACTGTTTACAGCAGAACATCTGGGGAAAAGGCGAGAGGAAGACCAAAAACAAGATGGATAAATGGTGTAGCAGAAACATGCAAAAAGATGAACAAATCGATCACCCAAGCCACCCGAGAAGCGCAAGACAAATACAAAAAAAACTACGACACTGGGCTACGACCTGGTGTCAGTGAGACGAAAAAAGAAGAATCATACATAAGACAAATAAGTTAACCGATGAGGCTATGAGTACTAATTTGATGCACCTTGCCGTTCTTAGTGGGAAAGGGAATTACTTTCCCATGTCGTCTATGGGTGGAAGAGATCGGAACCGTATCATATAATTTTCTAAAGACAACAGTTGGCTCAATCAAATATCCACTGTAGAAAACCTTCCGATGTGGAGATAGCTCGTAGATTTTCTCTGTTGTTTCTCTCTGGTCGGCGTCTGTGGCTTACGAGTTGTTGCAAACGCGCTGTGTAATGCCGGGGTGTCGGGTTCGATCCTATTTCAGGCGATTTAGCAGCAGACCCTCTTGTAGAGGTTTCTATAGTGGTACTGACAGCCGACCTAGAGTAGCAATGGCGAACCACTGAACATTTGTCTAGACAAATCACAACAGAAACAAAAAAACAAACAAAAAATCTTGGGGTTAGTTATGAAACATCCTGTAGCGGATACAAAACTATTTAGGGTTAACATGTGAAGGATACGGATCAGGCAGGACCAATTTCCATAAACCCTGTTCAGCTGCATAGCACAGTTTTATAAGGGCACCCCTGGGGTTAGGCAGTCAGTGCCTTCCAGTGTGTGGGGTCGGAGAATCATTGATTTCAGTTCCCCCCCCCCCACCCTCTGCAGTCCAGTGTGTGGGGTGGGAGAATCATTGATTTCAGTTCCCCCCCCCCCACCCTCTGCAGTCCAGTGTGTGGGGTGGGAGAATCATTGATTTCAGTTCCCCCCCCCCCACCCTCTGCAGTCCAGTGTGTGGGGTGGGAGAATCGTTGATTTTAGCCCCCCCCCCCCCCACCCTCTGCAGTCCAGTGTGTGGGGTGGGAGAGTCATTGATTTTAGTCCCCCCCCCTCCCCCACCTCTGCAGTCCAGTGTGTGGGGTGGGAGAATCATTGATTTCAGTTCCCCCTCCCCCACCCTCTGCAGCCCAGTGTGTGGGGTGGGAGAATCATTGATTTCAGCCCCCCCCCCCCAACCCACCCTCTGCAGTCCAGTGTGTGGGGTTGGAGAATCATTGATTTTAGTTCCCCCCCCCCACCCTCTGCAGTCCAGTGTGTGGGGTGGGAGAATCGTTGATTTCAGTTCCCCCTCCCCCACCTCTGCAGTCCAGTGTGTGGGGTGGGAGAATCATTGATTTCAGTTCCCCCTTCCCCCACCCTCTGCAGTCCAGTGTGTGGGGTGGGAGAATCATTGATTTCATTTCCCCCCTCTCCCCACCCTCTGCAGTCCAGTGTGTGGGGTGGGAGAATCATTGATTTCAGCCCCCCCCCCCCCAACCCCACCCTCTGCAGTCCAGTGTGTGGGGTGGAAGAATCATTGATTTCATTTCCCCCCTCCCCCACCCTCTGCAGTCCAGTGTATGGGGTGGGAGAATCATTGATTTCAGTTCCCCCCCTAACCCACCCTCCGCAGTCCAGTGTGTGGGGTGGGAGAATCATTGATTTCAGTTCCCCCTCCCCCACCCTCTGCAGTCCAGTGTGTGGGGAGGGGTAAATCATTAATTCCAGTATCCCCCTTCCCCCAACACACACACACACGCACACACAAACATTTTCTTCAATCAAGAATGTGTGGCGACTGATTTCAGTGACATCTGGATGACATCTTCCTCTCCGTTGGCATCGGGATCAGCCGGTATATCTTTCACGTTGCGACCTTGGTCACTTGTGAACCGGGGTACACATATCAGACAGATCACTAGAATCAAGACTGGATGGCGGAGAGGGACTTGTTGCAGAGTCAATCAGAGTTCTGACTCCGTGCTTCAGTGTATCAATATTGTGCATTAACAGACATTCAGGATTAGCATTGCAAGAATTCAAAGCACACTTTGGGTGAGTCAAACCGATGCCATCAGAAGTGCACAGTGATCGTCCATAGTCTTTCGTTGATGTGACTGTTTCTGTGTCTTTTATGTGCATGATCATTCTGGGTACTGGTGATTCAGATCGTGTAGCTGTGTTGTTACTTGATTCAGTGTCGCAGAAACTTGATCCGCACTCATCCTGGTCTTTTCTGGCAAAGCTGTCAGTGTTTTCTGCTTTGATAAAACAGAGTTCCTCAGAATTATTGGTGATACCCTCACACTTATGGCACCATTTGTGTGGTTTAGAGTCTCCTGTAGGCGACAGGTTTGGACAGAATGTGAGAGCCCCGTTGGAGCGTCTCTTTAGTTTCCTTCTGGCTATCAGTTCAATAGTGTCAGTTGTCGGAGGTTTGTTTAAATGTTCTAAAACATGATTATCTTCAGATTCGACCCTTTGGTCAGATGCCGCTTCTAATGTTGCTTCCACATGTTTCCTGTTTTTAGTCTTGATGGTGTTTTTTTCTACACTGAGTTTGTGTTCGGCGACTTCGGATCTTGAAATGTTTTCCTGTTTTTTCCATTTTGTTCTGCGGTTTTGAAACCAGATTTTGACCTATAAAAATAAACGAAGAAAGCATTCAAGTGATTTGCCAGATGTTATCAATATATTCACACATACATACACACACATACATACATATATATATATATATGCACACACACACAGACAATAACCGCAGTCATATAAAGAACAGTCATGTTAGATGTCATGGCCCCGATGGCTAGACGCTTGCATGCTGACCCGAAGGTCGTCAGTTCTGCATCGGATAGACTAATAATTACCAAAGCTCACATTTCCATCTAGCACAAAATATGCTCACAAGGAAATGCCTCAACACGTAATAACGCAATGTTGTTATCCTCACAGTAAAGACCATAAAAAACATGGACACGGCATCTTTTGCCCGATGCAATAATTGCGTAAAATTGTCAGATTTACTTTAGTTTTATTTATGTATGCGTTTGTGGTGGCTCAGTAGTTAAGCTGTTAGCCTTGCTGTCTGAAGGATTCACATGCAGTTTCTACGGAGGTTCCTTCCTGGAACCACAGAGAGTGGTCACGTTGTATGTGTTTTGCATGAAGGCAATCATTTTAATACCGTTTGATTACTGTGGGTTATTTTAAAGTAGCGTTTCTACTTAATTTTTGTCATGGCCAATAACCAATTTACGTGACCTTAGAAAGTCTGTATCGCGTTTTTCACTTCCTGCAAACATATGTCTCATCATTGTAACTAATGTTGCAGAGATAGTCAAAAGACTTTCAGCTACAAGAGCGAGGGCTGCAAAACCCAAAGATGTTAATTTCAAGAAGATTATTGATGTCGTAGAAAAACTCTGCGATCTCTCCGAAAGTGTTGAACCAGAGCTGCAGTGATTTTACTAGCAGTAATTGAATTTTCTGTCTTTCTGTTCAATGTTTTTGTATTTCTGCAGTAATGTCTGAAAAGAAGTAAAGTACGCTCAAAAATATATCTGGATCATTTGAATCAGTTTTGAGCAGTGTTATCAAAATGAGAAATCTGAAGATCTGTTTAAATTACAAAAGAAATGGGGTCGTGGAGATAGCATTGCAGTTTGCAACGTGTGTAGAGATAGACATTAATTAAGTGAAAAGAAAAACCGTCATAAAAAAGATACATAGAGATAAGGCTCAATATGAAGCACTCAAGTTGAAATGAAAAATTGAAAAGATCAATGTAGAAGTTCATTGACAGGTTTTATTAAGAAATTGACATTCGTTGCAAAGACATGGAATGTATATCAGCTCGGTTTGCAGTTCTCGATCGCAAGAATCTGAACACAACTTCAGAAGAGAACTTTCACAAATAATACAACATTTAGTCGTAAACTATTGTGAACTTTTTGAAGATAGTATCTTTATAGCGATTCAAGGATTATGAACACATCTACAACTTGCCCAAGATTCAAACGAAGATTATCCTGAATGGTCACCTTTAAGAATTGTAGAGTTTGTTATTGAATACAAACTTTCAGATATCGAGCTAAATCTGACTTAAGCCTACAGACTCTTGTTAACCTTTTTTGTCCCAGTAGCATTAAACTAACGAGGAGTCTCAAAATAGAATTAAATCAATTTATTTTAGGTCTACTGTAAGTCAGCATTTGCTCTCTGGCATAGAAACCTTGTCAGTTGAAAACAAAATAACGAAAGGGATTGATTTTGATGATGTGATTCCAACAATTGCAGAGAATACAGTTGTGGCTCGCTGAAAAAAGGAAGAGGGGGGGGGCGAGGGGGTGATTAAGTACTCACGCTCCCACTGTTATGTAAATACACCAGAAAGTAACACTTGCAACTGTATATATCTGATATTTTCCTTCGTTTAGCGAATTCCGTGAGGGGGTTGGATAGGGAAATGATTATGATTTTTCCGCACCGGGTACTACCCTTGCTATGCCACTGTACATCACATATTGTTTAGGAACTGAGTTAACACTGACCTCAGCTTACCATTTAAGACTTAATCTCATGAACTGACATAAAACCAAGGTGGGTTTTCTTTCTTCCTTCAGAAACCACGCCATTAAATCTGCACTGTGGCTTTTAAATAGCAAATTTAAATTGATAGCTACAGTAAACGAAACAAAATGAGAAGTTTTAAAAAAATCGACAAACTGTCTTCGTTCTCAGTGCAAATATAAAGCTCTTCTCTGGGAATCACTAGGCAAGTCAGTCATTAATTGCTTTATAAAACCTCTGAAAATGCGTCCCTGATGTGTCCTCACACAATGGAAAGTTCAATAAATTAACACTTTTGGCTCTGAAGTTCTGAAGTCTCAGCCCCGGGGCCAAGTTGGCGTTCACCGAGCAAGGGTGACAATCATGGCCTCAGTAATCGGCTCAGGTCTGTAAAAATCTGTGGCTGGCCACAAAATGTAACGGTTAACTTGAAAATCAAAGGCAGAAACAGTGACGTTCATTAGCTATGATCTGCAGTGATTTCTTCAAAGGCAGACTTTGATTGGTTATTAAAAAAAAGATTCGCGTTTTCTAATCGACGTCCCGGGAGAAACTTTTTTGTAAGTGCAATGAAAGTGTATAAAGTGTCACTTGCAACCCAGAATACAGATTTGATAAATAACACTTTTGCAATAGTCATAAATCATATACAAATATATGTCATTTAAAATTAAGTGATAACACTCGTGTGTCATTTCTATGGTATAACTGTTAGTGTAAGTGACATAAGTTCCCATCCCCATATGGGAAGCAATTTTTCGTTATTTTAAAGCCCAGCTCTGGATGCAGTCGAGGGCCCTAATATAAACTAATGATTATACAGTGTTTCTAGAACTTGTGCCCGGCTGATCCTCATCCGAATAGTGGCACTTTGAGTCACAACGTGTTGTTCGCTTGTTGTATGGTCCTGGTTAGGTTGAACGACACACACACACACACACACACACACACACACGCGCGCGCGCGCACGCACAAGTGACAAGAAGTATTTCACCTGTTCGCAGTCTTTAGAATTTACAGGGATGTCAACAGCTTAAAGGACAAAAAACGTGCTGGATTTAGGGTCACAATCTGCAGGGGCCTCAGCAAATTCCGGTATTTATTCACAAATGCAGTCTTTACAAATATTCTTTTCACAAATGTCTTTTCACAGAGTCTTTAAGATGATTGTATAATGTAATTTCTGTGATTGTGCAGATACGTCTTTGCTAAACAGTAAACACAATATATTTCTAGTATCCATGTATTTAAAGAGGTATGTATATTGAAGTTTTATAAGATTAGCTGGTGTAAATTAGAACAGTAGGGCCTCAGGGCTTTATATTGTTTAGGGCATTATCAGGTCTAAATCTGGCCCTGGGCATACATTTTTAGTTGCATTGTGGTAACTGGGTGAACCAGTCTTGATACACACACAAAAACAAAAAAAGATATCTGGATTGAAATTAACTCACAAACAGAACTGATTATCCCGAGCAGAGGTCAGAAGATTCATGAGAAATTCCGCCTAGGTGACGAAAGTAGCTTTACAGATGGCTCTGTGTTTCTTCCTCTTCTTCGTTCACCGGCTGTGAATTCCGGCGGAAGGTCCCGGTTAATCGTCCGCTTGGACTTTTGGCTTTTACCTGGACCTGAGTTTTGCGTGTACAACAGTTTTTTTGTTCCCTGCCTCGCGGGCAGATGTACTCCGACTTCGAGGGAAGGCTTTGTGTTGAGAGACAGACCAGATGCGGGAGTGGAGGAGGAGGAGGAGAGGGAAGGGTCATTGCGAAAGCGAAAGGACGGCGCATAGTGCAACTGTCTAGTGTATAAAACTACACTATCTAGTTTGAGAACGGAGGTGGAGGCAGTCGCAGCAGCTTTCCGCTGGCTTGAGAACTAGGTGTAAACACATATTGTTGATTATAACCGACTCACAAAGCATGTTAACAAAGGTAGAGACGGGCAAGCACCGCTTCAGAAGTTACCAGGTATTTAGCGTTCTTTTGATAATTTTTCCAGGGAACTCAGGAGTTTTAAGAAATGAACAGATAGATACACTGGCTATTCTGCATCAATGGGTGGAGAGCATTGTATATGACAAGCTAGCTATGGCCAAACCCCTTTGGGAGCAAGTGAACAATGGGGAGGCACGAATAGGTCTGGAGAGAATGGTACAGCTAGGAGTGATCAAAGGAACTAACTGGTCGACACTACACTCAGTAGAAAAGCAAGATGGACATATAATCAAACTACTACTGGCACCATCTGAATTTGAACTCATCGCTGGCTGCTGAAGATGAGGAGGGAGTGCCTACAAGAATGCCTTGAGTACTGTGATGTCAGTTTTTTGCTTAACAGGCAACACCCAAAACGTCATTTAGAATTCTGGATTTTTGTTTTGACTTAACATATTGGAGATATTATCATCATATTTTGAAGGAAAAGCGGCAGGAAGAAAACTGATCAGCCTATTTTAGGAATTTATACTGAGACTCTACATTCTTCTTCTTTTTATGTCTTTTTAACCCACAATGGAGCATAGGCCCTCAACCAACTCATACCAAGTCTTTCTATGCTTTGCTATCGCATGCAGCTTTCCCCATGTCCTCCCAATCTTTTAATTTGGCTCTCTAGCTCCATTCTCCGCGTGTTATTTGTTTGTTTTGTTTTTTGGTCTTCCTTTACTTCTATGTTCCTGTGGGTTCCAGTGCAAAGTCATTCTAGTTATATTTTTCTCAGGTTTTCTCAACGTGTGTCCTATCCAACGCGAGCGTCTTTTCTTCACCTCTTGGTCCACTGGAGCTTATTTAGTTCTCTCCCATGCTTCACATTAGTGATTCTATCATACAGTTTAATTTCCTCTATTCTGCGCAGTCGCCATTTAATGAATATGTTTGTAGTTTAATATTAATTGTCTTAGCTGTTCTCCATGTTTCTGCTCCACACAACAGTATTCTTCTTCTTCTTCGTTCACCGGCTATGAATTCCAGCGGAAGGTCCCGGTGGATCGTCCTCTTGAACTGTTGTCTTTTACCTAGACCTGAGTTTTGCGTGTACAACCGTTTTACTGGCTTTTGCCGTTCCCTGTCCTCACGGGCAGATGTTTACTAATTGTTTTATTAATAGTTTTCGACTCTCCATTAGCTATTCTAGAATAATTACAAATTTAAGAACTTCAGCAACCACAGCGCCCTTACCTGTGTCTCTGTCACTGCCAGCTGACTCGCCATTTCTGCTCTCTCAGCAGACGACAGATATTTTTTCTGCTCGAACTGTTTTTCCAGTTCAAAAATTTGTCTGCCTGTGAAAGTCGTTCTCGCTTTTTTCTTTTTTACTGCACCATCATCATCTATAAATTCTTTGCCAGTTTTCCGTTTCTTTTCTCCGGTGTCTGTTTCTGGAAAATAAAAATACAACTGTTATTACTGCGTGTATTTGTCACTCTCAGTGTGGTTATGACATGGGTGTTCTTTAATTCTTTGAGTCCCAGGGGTTTTAGCATCATAGGCCCAAGAGGTAGAAAAGATTTCTATTTATCTGGCCAATTCTCGCACCGTATGTACTTGCATAGCCAATGCATCTTCAAAGTCCTCAATCCACCATTGCGGAGGTCTGCCTCTGCCTCGTTTCCCGGAAACTAAACTCTTCACCACCATTTCCCTTACTGGTGGTATTTCCTTCCCAGATAATCATGAAAATTGTCCGGTGCCCATCTGTATAAGGCTGTGCTGGGCGGAAACATATTCTACTCTCCCTGTGTGGGTTCCAGTGCCCCATTGTGGGGAAGACACAACAAGAATAGACCCACTGCCTCCCCGATAAGTATGTCATAACAATCGACTAATAATGGAGCTGGCAGGAGAAAACAAGGTCGCTGAACTTTGAAAAAGACACAAGAAAGTTATGGAAGCTGGTAAAACAAATTAATGATGAGGGCACAGGGTTGAACTTAAAGATCACGCTGCAGAAAAATGGAAACATTGTCACCTGAAAAGAGGCAGCCAACCTCCTTGTTAACACTTTTGCTTTAGATAACGACATTTAGATCAGTTCAGAAAAAAAAAAAAAAAAAACCAACAACAACAAGAGATTCAAGAAAAGACACAATTCAGAAGACGGCAGGAAATAACATCAGAGGCGCTAGAGGTGCCAATTACACTTAATGAACTGGAATTGACCATTTTAAAGCTGAAAATGCGGAAGTCACCAGGAGCAGATTGTTTATCTAACGAAATTATCAAAAACTTAGGAACAATAGCCAAAACAAAGCCTTTACAAATATTTAATGCTTGCTGGGCAACAGAAAATGTTCCACAGATCTGGAGAGAGGCAATTATGATACCGCTCATAAAGCCTGGGAAAGACAGTTCCAATGCCTCCAACTACAGACCGATCAGTCCTCACAAACTGTCTCTGCAAAACAACCAACCTCAGACTACAGTGGTACATTGAAAGTGAAAACATCACAGCAGGCGGGCTTTAGAAAGTTCTACTCTACGAAAGACCAGACAACATACCTCTTCCAAGAAATAGAGGATGCTTTTCAAGATAAGAAACTGGTGGATAGAAGGAAAGCTTTTGACAAGGTTTGGAAGAAGGCGCTTTTGAAGAAATTGAGGAAACTATTAAGTAAATGGAAGAATGTACAATTGGATTAAAGCATATCTACACAACAGAAGAGCCCGGGTACAGGTAGGTGGTTTCAAAAGTAAAAAAAAGTTCTACTGCGACATGGCGTCCCTCAAAGTAGTGTCATGTCGCCCACACTTTTACCTCTTATTCATCAACGACCTGGTTGCTGAAATACCAAATGGAATCAAAATGGCAATGTATGCCGACTACCTGTGCACTAATGAACTTGCAACGATAGCCACAAGAATACTACAACGGGTTACATATGCACTTGAGGCATGGGCGAATAGATGGTGTGTCAGCATCAACACAGAAAAATGTAGCACCACACTCTTCACCCTCTCGCCATAGCAAAAAATCAGACATCGTCAAAATAAACGGAATTCCCCTAAGAGAGAATAAAGAGCCAACGAAACTCAGAGTCACATTTGATGACAGGTTGACATGGAGAAAACATACCAACATGGCAGCAACCAAACCCAGGAGGAAGACAGCCATACTAAGAAAACTAAGTGGAACTATGTGGGGAGCCAGTGGGAAAATCTATATTAATAAAATATCTTAATTTTCCGGTGTCGTTAGATATAAACTCTGAAACTACACAACCGATTGCTTTCAAATTTGCACACGACGTTGCCTCTGACTCAAAGCTTTATTTGTTGTCATAAAATAGCACAAACCACGAGCGACTTAGCTTCAGCAACGGTCAAATCATTATTTGTTTCGTTGCCCGCCCGGATTATTTTTAATGAATTGGCCACCTTTGACTATGCAACACCGACCTTCACATTATTATTATATACTTTTATTTCTATAAAATGCTTAAGTATTCAGTAGCGTAGTTAGTTGTAAGCATTTTGCTTTTTTTACTCGGGTGATAGAGGTTCGATTTCCCGCTGGGTCATATAATTAATTTTTTTTTTTTGGGGGGGGGGGGGGATCGAGCTGGGTGGCTGCCACGTTTTGTTGTGGTTTTTAGCTAGGCATTAGTATCTACGCTTTTTTCTAGTTCGATTTTGGGGTTTACAGCTGGCCTGCGATAGCGGCGACGTGATGCTCAATGTTCATGTCACGGGTAATATTCGTTCGCCCTTGAGAGGGCGGTTGGCACGTTGTGTTGTTGTTTACAGCCAGGCTGCGATATCTTACCAAAAGTCTTCAGTCTTCGGTAGTAGAGTTGTAAGTATTCCCCCTTCACGTGTATAACGGGTGTTCGATTCCCCGCTGGGTACTAATTTTTCTTTTTACCCCAAAGGGGCGATTGGCACGTTGTGTTGTGGTTTACAGCTACGTTGCGACATCTGCGCCTTACGCCCAAAGACATCCGATTTAAGTACAGTCCACATTAGCCTCCCCCTCCCCCCGACTCTTCACTCGATCAAAAACTATTCGTTAATGACAGAAATTGTTAACTAAGAAGGCTTACGGTCCAGTTTGGTCTTGGTCGACACGGATGCCAAGGTCATTTAACATTCGTCCCTTCGGAGAGGGGAGATGACGGGTGGGGTTTTTTTATTTCCGCTATTTGTGAGTATAGAACGGACTATTACTGTGGGTTCCATCACTGGTTAGGTGATGGAGTTTTTTTTTTCTTTTTCTTTGTTGGAAGCTCAGTTACACTAAACAGTCCGTGGCGACATCATGCAGCGCTATCCCCTCTGGCTACACCGACCTGCACAGACAGTAGTGACTGTTTTTTGTTTTTCGTGGTGGTGTAGGGTAGTACTGGTACTGGATGGGTGATGTGGTAGCTGTTACACAGGCACTTTTACTTCTCATTACACATTAATGCTATCCATCTGGATGGGTGGACAAGGATGCAAAGCTCAGTTCACAAAATATTTCGTCACTGACTTTCCCATCCTCGGCATTACACATAATTGCTGGGGGAGGGGAGGGGGTGGGGGTAGCAGACTGTTAAGTGGACACCTTAAAACATAAGCTCAGTTACATAACTAGTTACATTTTAATATTTCGCCAGATGATGATTTTTTATTCTTCGGATGGGATATATTAATGGGGGGGGGGGGCACTGGGGGGGGGGGGTTATGCCTACCTAAGAGAGCTTAGCACATTATTTTCAAGTTCTCATCTCTTAACTATTTCTATTTTAATACTTTCGCCAGGGATGATTTTTCAATCCTTCGGAGAGGGAGATATGACTGGGTGGAGGGGAAAGGGACGGGGTTTGAGGGTTATGACAGACACTGTTAGTTGAGAGCTACTTTCTTTCTTTTCCATTTCACCATTCGGGGCCACAGCAACGCGTGGCAGGGCACAGCTATTACTCAATATGTATATAAGCATAGCATACAACCACACTTGGAATGTGGGTCAACTGCATGGTGTTCAGCATCTAGTAAAAGGAGTTGAAGGAGTTGGACAAATTGCAAAATCAAGCGCTTAGAGTTATCACAGGAGGAATGAAATCAACCCCCATACTAGAAATGGAGAAAGCTAGGAAAACACAGGCACTGGGAGAACGCAGAGATACAAAGTTGCAAATACAAGCTAAAAAGTTCCTTAAGTATGACAGATCACCCCATGAAAAATATATATCAGAACCTAGCTTTGGAACCGTTAAAAAGGAAGCAGTTTTATACACCAACCAACAACAACAATATATATATATATATATATATATATATATATATATATATATATATATATATATATATATATATATATATATATAAACGACCGACCTTCCAGAAATTGGTTGTCCACTTAAAATGTATTCCAGAGTGTTACCATGGAGAGCAAATGCAAACTAACAGTACAAATTCAGATAAATGTGAAAGGAATATTTGACAAGAAAGAGCAAGATAGTATACAATGCAGAATGGCCACCCTCAGTTATATTGATGAAAAATACCCACAAGAACAAGGGTCCGAGTCTATACAGATGGGTCCACATGAAGTGCAGTTAGAAATGGTGGTGCTGGAGTGTACGTAGAATTCCCATGATACTAGCGATAAGTCTAGTGAACCAGCTGGGAAGTACTGACATAACTATGATGCAGAAACTCAGGCTATCAAGATAGCAACAGAGAAACTGCTAAATACCAATCTTGGCTCATAGTATATGGTAATGCTGACAGATGCTAAATCCGTATTTAAAGCACTCCAGTCTAGTAAACTACCAGAATTGCAAACACCACTGACACAACTCAGCCTTCAACGAAGAGTCGAGATGCAATGGATACCGTCCTGTTGTGGAGTGCCTGAAAATTAGAGAGCTGATCAACTGGCATGGGAAGGTGCGACAAAAGAGCAGACGGATGTACCAGTCACATACGACCAAAAAAAAAAGATAATTAAATCTATCAGGAACCACCAGCCTCAGCACAAGACGACTATTGTATTATGGGCAGATCAGAACAAGTCATTATCTCCGCCTCAGAACAGGGCACAACCGATTACGTAACCACATGTACACAAAATTAAAGATAGGCGTATCAGCCATGTGCACCTGTGGAAATGTGCCCCAGACAGCAGAGCATGTACTCTAGGACTGCACCGAATTTGACAGATTAAGGCAAACCTTTTGGCCAGAAAGAACAACAGTGGAACGTAAAGTCTATGGACCACTGAATGAACTAACAACGACAGTGAAATTTATACGAGAGACAAAATTTCTGATGTAGACAGCTGATTTCAGGCAAACGAAAGAAGTAGAAGAAGACGAATTATGGGTTTCCTTTGAAGGCGTAGTACATTTGCCTGAGAGGCAAGGAGCCAACAATCCGCATACAGTTAAGTCACATTTGTTACTACTACTTCTTCTACTACTACCACCACCACTACTGCTGATGCTACTACTACTACTACCACGACCATCACCACCACCACTACTACTACAACCACCACCACTACTACTACAACCACCACCACTACTACTACCACCACTACTACTACTACTACTACTACTACTACTACCACAACTACTACTACTACTACCACCACCACCACTACTACTACCACCACCACCACTACTACAATAGGCGCTTAAGCAACTTGAGCTTCCACCTAGTACGGTGCTAAGATATCCTACCCCTTTCCCCGGATCAGAGTCGTCCTGCCCTCAGTGGCAAAACAATGTCAGGAGGTACCAGCTGTGGGAAAGGTCATGTTCCCTCATTCCACCCCCCCCCCCCCCATCACTTCATATATATTTTTTTAAACATATTTTTGTCATTTTTTACCCCCCCCCCCCAACACACATACACACACACACACACACACACACACACCCTTACTGGTGATACCCGTGGTGGCCCGTAGCCCTCATCTTCTTACACCACTGCCCCCGCCCTAATATTATCTTTGTGTCGGCGTTCGTATGCTAAAGGTTCTTACATCTGTCTCCAGTCTTGCGCCCCGCCAACATTGTTCTGTCTCGGGGCTGGGCATTGTTCTATCTCATGGTTGGGCATTGTTCCATCTCATGGTTTGGGGAACTCCAGGACCAGGGCTGTATAGGGTTCATTAAATCTGTTAGCCTGCCCTTCCATGTCAACTACAATTAAATTACTAAACATAGCAAACTAATTTTCATGTCGAGAATTTAGTAAGCCCTATGAATTGTGTGATAGAGATTTAATGCTGACATTTTAGAAAGAATGGATTCACCAGCCTGATCATGGCTACAGTTTGAAAACGTTCGACTCAGAAACTTTACAAAATTGTAAACAATCTTAGCAGCTGTCATACACTGGCGGTTGCCTCAGAATCAGGCAATATCTCCCAAGAACTATCCCAGGGTTCTGCAATTTTACCAGCGCATTTTAAAGTGTTTACAAGCTAGACTGCAAAACTCAAAGCGCTGGGGCTTGAAATGATATTGGCATTTAGACAGGGAAGCCACAGGCAACCGACATCCCAAGAGCTACAGGAAACTGTAGACAAAGCGACTGACTTGTGTGCAGAAATGGACGCTGTCATCAACCTAGAAAAGGC